ATTGCAGGCAATTGAACGTAAAATAACATTACTACTAATAACAAACATTAAGTGCTCATATCTAATCAATTTTAAATATTTTTTTTGTGTAAAGCTGTGTGTTTAGAATTCAACAAATACTGATAAATTTTAATTTTGCTCTCCGCTACACAGTGTTTAACTTAATTAATACGCAGTATTAATTTGTAACTATTAAGAGAGGTAACTGGTTACCTCTCTTAATATGCATAAATTTAAACAAACAATATTTAGAGCGTATGTATATCTTAAATTAATTTCTCCTTGATTAGCAAATTTGAAATTTTATACGACAAGTCGCAATCTTAAGAATTGTTAAATAATGTGCTTTTTCAGTTCGTCTTGTTTTGCAGTACTTATACGCTGTAAATATAATGACTAACAGGTATGAGTACAATTTGAAATTAACATAAAACTGGGTTTTGTGTAAGAAGAAGGATGCTGCTTATTTCATGGTTACCTATTTCTTGTATTTATTTAATTAAGTAATATAGCAAATGCATTTTTCATATAATATTTTCGTATAAGTTAAGAACTACCAAATACCTACTTTTCCATGTATTTTGTATGGGAAAAAAGCACCTTTGGTTCCTTTCTGGAGACTTACAATAACAATATTGAATTATTTATTTACCAATTTTTTTAAAATGAAGATTTTTTATTTATCCCCCCATTGCATTTTCTGCCATTTTATAGGGGTTTTGGCGGTCCTATAAAATATAGTAAGAAAAAATTGTTAAACAAATAATTGGGTTTTATTATTGGGAATCTGTTGAAGAGAAACAGAGTCTTCCGATTGAAAACTATTGATTTTCCAGAATTCAAGTTCCTTTTTTCCCATACAAAATACATGGAAAGCTTTGAGCGCTTTGAGCGACCTATAAATATTTTTTGATTTCAAAAAAACAAAGTAAGGTATACTTTTTTCGATATAGAACAATCCTAGGGGGTGAGAGCATAAAAATTCTGACTTTACTATTTTACATACTGTTTTGGACCACCCTAATATACATACGTAATATTCTTCGTATATTACTCGGTCTAATTTACTTGTAAAAAGATACTTTTCCACAAGAAATCAGTCAAACAGTAATCCCTCCTTTTCGACGTTATCATTCTGAAATGGAAGTGATTAATTGACCTAATTATTGCCCATTTAAAATACATATTTGTTGATGTTGAAAAAAAAATATTCATCGAAATAAACTTTATGCTTTCTACTAAATCCAACCATAGCTGAAACCAAATAATAACAAATAAAAATGCGGCGGTTTCGAAATTCGATGGTTTCGACGCATGCATGTATGTATGTTGTTAATTCAACAAAAAATTGACTATTATATATAATTGCAAGAGGCCCTGCTAGAAATTTTTCGAAAATGCTTTTTTTAATACTCCATTAGTTTGCGGTCGGACACACTCCCATACCAAAAAGCCCTAATAGAAGCGATATACAGTGAAAGCCTGTGAGACGCGCAAACCATATATAAATCCTGAATATTTATTAATATTTCCTCTCATTTCACTAAAGCAAAAAATATATGATAAGCAGTTGTATTTCATTTTATTTTTTAAGAAGTAAAATATTTTTTAAACGGTGGGTTAGATAAAAGAGGTCGGTTTTCACAGTCGTTAGTTAACTAATAGAAAAACAGTTGTTTTTGACTTTTGGTCAATTAATAGATGTACATTGGTTGTTACTGTGAACCAATGTGAAAATATTTTACAAGAATTTTTTGTAGGTTTGAGCGTAAACAATTTTCGAACAGTAAAAAGTAAGAGAATAGCAGTGTAAGACCGTAATTCCATGCTGTGGAAGTATACGACCCTTTAAACATTTAACTAAAATCATTAGGGCTGCTCAGGACATTGTGAAAATGGTCTTGGATTTGCATTTGCAAATTTTATGCTTGCTACCATGGCAACCGTTTGCATTTTATTGTTGTGAATTTACAAATGCACCGAAAAATGCAAATGCAAGATCATATGCACAAGATCCTGAGCAGCCCTAATGTGTTTGATAAAAATTTTCGTTGAGCTTCTTTACTCAATAGGCAGTGAATAATAGGGACAGAATTGATTGTTTTATATTAGCTTCCGTTTTGATATTGTGTGGATGTGTATACAGTTTTTGAGAAAAATCATTAAGAAGTAAAGTACACAATTAAAATTGAATTTTAATTATTTTTTTTACCCGAACAGATATATTGATCCGCACTTAAATAAAAATTTCATCACTAGCAAGAAATAAATAAATACAAATTCACTTTGTTGCCGTGGTTCATACATACAACATATCGTCGTCTCAGAAAACGGATGTCGAATGTTACAAAACACGGTTTTGAGAAAATTGACTTTGAAGTTTAAGGTCGAATTAATCCGAAACTGTACGGTAAATTCTTGTAACTTTTGAAGGAGACGTAGTTGGTGTTATTAGTTTTGATTTCCCATATTTTTACATTTAATATCTCTTAACGTTAATGAGAAAATTTACTTTTCATTCCGTATACATTTGTCGTAAGTAGCGTTTACTCACCACTCTGTTTTGTCCACAGAACATACGACAATAGTAAAGTATCTATTTCAACGACGATGGTATAATTTGATGAAAAAACAGACATATTTATTAAATAATGATTACTTATTAGAAAAAACATAACAAAAACATAATCATGTATTTAATAAAAAAAATCTGTACATCTCTTATGCTGTAAATATGTTACGAACATACGTTTTCTTTATATAAAAACAAAAAACAATACTTAAATTCAGTCTTTTGTACATTTTTATCTCTTTCATTTCATTGGAGACTCAGTGCAAGCTAAAATTTAAAAATTTAAAATTTTAAAATTAGTTACTTAGTTTAATTTTCAATTTTAATTGTATCGTTATAGTAGAGGACCATCCAATTGTCGTAAGTTCAAAGTTTTGCGATACATACGACAAATGTTTTATGATTAAAAAAGGATTACATTTGTATGGGAATTTGTCGTATGTGCCACATACGACAAACGTTTTATGATTAAAAAAAAGGTACGTTTGTATGGGAATTTGTCGTATGTGACGCATTTTCAGCACATACAACAAAAGGCATACCCAATCATTAATATTATGTAACATACGACAAAATGCGCACGAAATATCTCAAAAACTAATGGAGATATAAAAAAAATGGATTGCAGAAATCGAAAGAGCATGTCCAACTTAGTAAATCTGCATCAAAATCCCAAAATCGTGATTTTGCACATTCGTCATCCGTTTTCTGAGGCGACGATATGTAGATATCTGTTTAATAACTGATTAAAAAAGCTGCACATATACATACTAGGGATGCCATAGATCTCGGGATCCCAGTGTTTTTGACGTCCCGAAAATCCCGGGATTCGCTTGCATTAATCACGGGAGCCCGAAAAATTTGAAATATCGAATTTGATAGTAACAACTTGTTTAAGAATTTGAATTACGTTTTTTAGTAAAATGCCGTTTTGACTACAATTAACAAAAAGCTTGAAACTTTTAAATTGCAGCCTGGGCCTTTTTGAAGAAGATTTAAATGAATGTACTCATAGCGTCGCCAATGTAAACGAAATAGGAAATTTTAAGGAAAAGTTACATAACTTTTTAAAACAATCTAAATCGAAAAACTAATAATTTATCCGACCTGCTGGTAAAAGAAGTTCAAATATTTTGTAATGGAGTAGATAGAGGTCATTATATTCAATCGCTTATGGCTACCTTTTTGCAATCCAGCGTAAAAGTGTTGATGCCGAAAGAGGTTTTTCATCAACAGGTTTTTGTATGCAATTACTTCAGGTTAAGATTTGAAAACTCCGCTTTGAATGCTCTGCTGGTCTTACGTGCACGTCTTGAGTGAAATGACTTCACTTTTTCCAAATCCTGGTTTCCCATAAAATTCACTTTTTTTTTGTCCTATTAAATGACGTATCCGTGGACTACCATATGTACGCACGAATAAATTTTTCATTCAGTTTGAAAAAAAAACAGTTCTCAGTTATTAGGTCAAGACGGGCGCTAGTTTTTTTAGGGTCGTTGATCACCAATGTACCACCAGAATTTCAATATTCAAAATGCCGGATCCAATTTGACGGAAGATTTTTTTTAAATTTACTGGATTCATTTGGAATTCGTTACTCGTTGGGTAACGGGCTCGTTGATTACGAATATGAAGTTGGACTAGAAAAATTCAAAATGGCGGATCCAATATGGCGGCAAAAAATTCAAAATCGATTGGACTTGCTTAAAACTTTAGAATTGGGAGTTCCTAAGGCCGCTGATTATGAATCCGAAATCAGATCAATGTTCGGTCTACCATTTTTCACGGAGAGGTTAAAATCGAATGTACGTACATGGCGTATGAGTTACCCTGACGAGATGAGAATGTTGCTCATACGCCATGTAGGTACGTTCGATTGTAACATTTCCGGGAAAAATTTTAGACCGAATATGGAATCGCCATTTTTGATTTTTAATATCTGATTTCATTTACATAATCAGCTGCCTTAAGAAAACTCAATTATAAATTTTTAAGCGAATCCAATCGATTTGGATTTTTTTGTTCCCCAAATTAGGCCTGCCATTTTAAATTTTTCTAATCCGACTTCAGATTCGTAATCAGCGACCGTGATACCCCCCACCATTTTGAATATCGCCATTTTGAATATGGAAACTCTGATGGTACATTCGTATTCAGCGACCCTGCAAACATTAGAATCCGTCTTGACCAAATAACTGACAACTATTTTAACAAACTGACATGACGGACATCATTTACGTAATACTGAATTTTCAGTTCTGCCACGTCTAATTTGATGTATTATAAATTTACGAGCCTTTTGACATGCTTTACGTTAATTTCTATTCCATAGAAATTTGGGCAAAGCTTTGGTCCGTTTGACATAGAACGTCACATATGTATGTACATACAGGATTACAAAAACATACATATCAATATTGGTACTCACTTCGGATGCACTTGTTGCCACAGAACTTAACGGTGACATTGGTGCTGATTGGACCGGACTGGCTGTAGATACGTTGGAGCAATTTACTGTCCTTAGTGAGTTTGTGGGCCCTGATGAACGACCACTTTGGAGACAACTTTTTCCGCCCGTCAAACTTGAGGAATTGCCACCAACTGAGTTTTTATAAGCACTGTCGGTTCCAAAACTTTTGACTGAATTTTGGTCATTTGGAAGAAAGAACGGGCAACTACCACCAGTTGCTGCATTGCTACCTCCACCATCTACACCATATGGAGAGGGCGATAGTTGCATGGGATCATCTAGCATTGACGTTGCAGCACTGGGGGTAAGTCGCAACTGAGGTGAATGTGCGGCGTTCAGTTCTCCTCCTCCGCCGATATCTGTGAAACCCGAATAATTGTTCGCCTGATTTGGATCGCGACTTACATTCGATATGATTGGTGAGTTCAATGAAGTTTTGTTCTAAAAATGTATTAACATTCCAGTAAATAATTGTATTAATTATTATTATATAGACTAACCTCCCATTCATTCTTGAAAGACTCACTTAGATACTGGCGTACTTGATTTTTTTGTTTTTGTATGACATGATAACGTGTAGGATTTTCCAATACTGTCCGCACCTAAAATATATAGAAAATATGAAGGATTAATATACACATACATTAGAGGGGGTATTGGTGTAAATACGTCATATTTTAATCCTGGTTCGAGCTTCGGTGGGAAATTTAACCAGTTTGAGTTTGAATATATCTTGCAACCTACATATATACACAATTTTCATAATAGCTTAGTTCGATTGTCTACAAAAAAATGTCCTTATACCAAAATATGTAGGACTAATACTTTCGAAGATATTTGCAATTTTAGTAAAAAAAAGCTTATTTATCTATATAAAAATACGCCACAAGAAAATTTTGTAATCCCTTTTTTTGAAGGCTCGATTTCAATGAAACATGGTGATGGAATTTTATACACCTACATTTATACACATATAAAATCGCGAGAATCATTCAATTGGGAACCATTTTCTCCCAGATTTTAAAATCACATTGAATGATTGTTGTTTTGTGCCAACGTTTTTAGAAGGATCAGTGTGTTTGTCTTGCGATAGGTGGCGTAGGGATTGAGAGCTGTTCTAAAAAATCATATTTATGATCAGATTTGTTTCACTTTTGGAACACATATTAGCAAACTGGTGAAACTTGGTAGCCCAGTCGTGTGATGAAAACATATTGGGCTTTGGCTCAGTCTTGACAAAAACCCGTGTGATACCCCAGTTAGAGCAGGAAATATTATCTTTTGTTGTAAACCTTCAAGATACTTTCTCAACCGTTAACGATTCAGATGAAAAAAAGAAAGAGTTTATGTAGATGTGGACAATTTAGTTTTTAACCTCCAAGAGACTCTCAGACAAATATAATCGAAAAACTTATTTACAGTCTGAATTGGTATATGTTTGACATATTAGTCAGTGATGATCATCTCATCTATACATACAATTACATATGCATATTTTTTATAAATTAAAATCGAGGTACCTTTTTCGGTCTAATTCCAAAAGCTACTGAAGAAATTTGGAGGGAACTTAGTAGAATTAGCATTAATTAACGTTCATAATTCGATTTTCAGTTTTCCTATACATTCGCTATAAACTATGCTAGTGGACTTCAAAATAATAATTCGCATAAAGGAGTTAGTATTGGTGACAGGTACAATTCAAAAGTGTATGAAAAAAGATGTCGAATTTCGACAACTGGACAACTGGGCGATACTAGTTGATTTTTATTTTTTGAGCACATTGAACACAGATTGTTTTAAGAACATAATTAACCATAGTTTTGCTATTACCAATCAAAATTCTAAAAAAAAAGCAGTTTTTCGGCCCACGCTAATGTTTATGTACTATGTACATAAGAATGTAGATGCCAAAGTTGTAAGAGAAAAGAATAAGCGTTGCTATTTTTTTATATACATACGATTCAAGCAAAATGTATATTTATGGTGAAAACACAACTGCCGTTTATTTCTGCTATAAAATTTGCTCAAAATGTTAATAATAATCTTATTTCTGCACATAATTTAATATGCTGAATGCACTTAATTTATAGTTTGTATATGCATGTGCGGGCTTGTTGAAATTTCAGGCTGGTAACAAAAGTTTTGTAACCGGTAAAAAGTATCTGTACCCTTTTCGCATTCTGTGGATTCTTCTAACCGGTCAATTTTTTGGCAATAAAATTTTCCGGTTACAAAATCATCGGTAACGTCCATTGTTGAATATGTTTGCCCTGACAAATCTTCGGCTAAAACAAGGTCTGGTTTAAAAAATTGGATGTAGTCATTCATTGCCTCCCACTCTGGTTGCTTGGTGCATTTTCTAAAGAAGAAATAGTTGCCGCCAGAGGGAGCTTCAATTTACATAGCCTTTCTAGCATAACGACTGCTGGACGAAGGTGTTCTAAAACAGATTTTTATATGTTTGCCGCATTGTCGGTTACAACTGTAACGATTTTGTTAGTAATTTACAAATTTGACAGAATATCTAAAATCGCTTGACCGATATTAAAGGCGAATGTACAGTTTTGACTTCTCCGGTTCACAAAGCCAAAAGATCTGGAGTGTTAAATGAAATGTGCGGTGATGGTTATATAACATCGGCTGCTGTCAAAAGTCCACAATTCGCTTGTCAAAGATATACTAGTGAACCCGCTTAGCGTTAGAACGCCCAAAATTGAATTTCAAAAACTTAAAAAATATTCTAAATGCTAGCCAGAGTTAAAAGAGATCCGCGTGCCAGTGAAGAACAGTCTCGCACAGTGCATGTTTTTAACTTCATCAAATTTCAAATCACCCCATACCGATGAAAATAGTTCTTAATTAAAAAAAAAAATAAAACTTTATCACACATCCACACATCTTTAATTTGATCTCTCATTTTTGAAATTCCTTTTCAAAAGTATTCTCAAACTAAAATCCTCTTACATCTCTTTCGTCTGACATTGCGATACGCGGGTTTCAATAAACCGATGAATTAATTTGAATTTTAGCCTCTTAAATTAAGGGTAGGAATACGCCATACATATAACTCTTTCTTAAATATTCATCTGAATATCTTCTCGGATAGCCAAGCGGTCATTTAGGTACTCTCTTCTAGCTCTGTTAAATCTCAACAAGTGGAAGACTGTAGGAGAGAGCTGGCCTATATCTCTGATCAATACGAAATTACCCTCATATGGTTCCTGGCACATAGGGACATTTACGGAAACGTGGGAGCGGACGAACTTGCAAGGTACGGTTCCGCACTGAATGTGTCCCACGCGGTGGACATGAGCGCTTCGCCAAGGGAGATAAAAGCAACAATTACCGAAATTTATCACTCGAAGACTAAGCAGAGGTGGAACTTTACAGGATCATACAGGATTACCCGGCAGTTCTAGGTGGCCTACAACTCACTTAGTCCAAAGCTCTCTTATGAATGAGCAAAGAAGTGCACTGCAGTGTGTACAGGACACTGGCCCGTTGGCATAGTAGTTACGATGACTCTGGCTCAAAAGAGACAGTCGAACACTTCCTGTGTGAGTGTCCAGCCTTTGCAAGGCGGAGGCTAAAGACACTCTACAAGCTATTCCTGCAGAATGTTTTAGAGCGAAGCTGACCCTCTCTGTATGACGTACTGAAATTCATTAAATATGTTTTGTATTTTGAAGTGAATTGTTTTCGTTATTTTCTTGTTAAACACATGTGTTATTTATTTTTGTACCGGCAATAAAATATTGGGAAATATTTTTAATAGAATATTTTACTGGTTTCTAGCGCATATTTTTGAATTTTGCGCGCATATTATATGCGCATATTTTCGATTTTTTAGTGCATGAGATTCCGAGCCCTACTTATAAATATAAAAAGAATGAATATTGGATGATATTTTCCATAATATGTAACCCGGCTTTAAAAACGATGATTATTTTTTTTTTGTGTGCAAAATTTTTATCAAACGGCAAGTGTAAACTGATTCTTCGGATCTTGCCCATTCCTGTGTCCCTTGAAAAATTCAAAAAAGTGCTGACGAAGCTGACCAGTTCTTAATCATTAGCAAAATATTTAGAAGATATGATTGCATTTACCTGTAAAACCTGTTTTGGCACATCTACGCCAATACTTTGCAGTGGTCCTTTTAACATAACTGGACTAGAACTAGTACCGGATGATGTAACTGATGGTGGGTGGGTTATATAGTTTTGTTGATTCATTTGCACATCGTTGAAATTCGTTCCGAAACTGTTGGATGCTGGCCTATAACCAATGCCCGCATTATTACTATGACCCATCATATGTTGGGTATTTGATGTTGTTGAATGTAACGGCTGGCTTTGGTGTGGGCTAGGAATCTGTTGTGTTATATAAGACTCAACTTGCTGTTGTAGAGCAGCAGCCTCAGCTGCTGCAGCGGCTCTTTTCTCTGCTTCGCGTCGCTCCAACTCTTGCTGTTGCTGTTCACGTTGCAACTGTTGCTTGAGTTGTGTCCGAGATTTTGGAACAGTTGTCTTGAATGTAGGACTGAAAAATGAAACAAAATTTTATAAAGTTTATAAAGACTTTGATGAGTCTGTCAGGCTTGCCGACAGGTATGTACATATGTAAATGTTACGAGTTTAGTATGAAATAGCACAACGTAAATATTAAATGCAAGTGTAAGTAATAGCATGTGTACATTAGGGTGTCCCGTCAAAATTTTTTTTTGATCTACATTATCGCAAGAAGTATCGAAATTTGCGTAATTTTACACATGTTAAGAAAAGGGTAAAAAAGTCAGAATTGTGTGTCATTTTGAGGGCTCTACCACACCATGAAGTTTTCCACGTATTTTATATGA